AACAATCGTTGAATCAACACACATACTTCCGATTTATTAAAGTCCCGCTTTTATTTAAACTTAATTTTTAATAAATACAATACACAATTAAAATTGTCATGTTAATATTTAAAAATTTGACAGCATGATTGAAAAATTGAAAACGTTGAATGTGTCTGATAGGGAGTTGCCCACTTTGATGGTGATTTTTCTGTCTGAGAGGTAGGAGTGTATGAGTTTGGAGATTTGGGGGGGGGGGGGGGAGATCTATGTTCATTAGCTTTTTGACTAGTCCGGCATGCCAGACTTGGTCGAAGGCTTTTTGAACATCTAATAAAACGGCTAAAGAGATTTGTTGAGAGCTTACTGCTGTGACCGCAGTAGTGTGAAGGGAAGAGATTGCGTCCTGAGTGTAGTGGTGGGGCCTGAAACCATGTTGGGATTGAGGTATGATATTTATTTCTTCACAAAATTCCCAGATTCTTTCCTTGAGCAGAAGCTCGAGGAGTTTCCCTAGGACTGATATGAGAGAAATGGGTCTGTATGAATTTACGGATTTGGGGTCTTTGCCTAGTTTTGGGATCAAAATGGTGTTTGCGGATTTCCAGGCAAGTGGAAAATGAGATAGGGAGAGGCAGGAGTTTAGAATAAGGATGAGGATGGGAAAGATGGTTTCAGGAAGATGCTTCAGCGTTCTTCTGTGAATGGAATCTGGCCCGGAGGCCGTGTTTTTGCCTGCTTGGCAAGCATATTGGATGTCTTGGAGGGTGAATGGGGAGGTGAGGGGGTTTTCGACATCCATAGGTGGGACTGGGTCGACGAGTGTCTGAAGGACGTATTGTTCGGTCTCATGTTTGAATTGTTCGTCAAAGTGGGGGGTTGTCGGGGGTTCTGAAGGTGGCTTCAAGGTGGGTTTTGTGGGTTAAGGCTTTTTCTTTGGGGGTTGAGTGGATTTGACCGTCGATTTGGAGGTGGGAGCGTGATTTTGTTTTTGAGCCGTGATTATTCGGAATTTGTCCCAAAACTTGGAGCCGTCTCTATGATCCAAATTAGAAGTGGTATTGATCCATAGTTGCTGTTTGTGTAAGTTGGTTTGGAGCCTGATCAGGGCGTTGAGGCGGTTCCATTCTGTTTTGATGACAGGGTCCTGAGTACGGACATATTGTCTATACAAGCGTCGTTTTTGAGAGATGAGCGAAATGATGAATTGGAGGAGGGCTTTTTGCGCCGTGTTTATGGAAGTAATAGTGGTGGATGTTTCGTCGATCGTTGTGTCGATGTCTTGCGGTGAGTTGAGCGGGCGTTGCTCAGGAATGTTTGCAGAAGTAGTTCTCTGAAATAGTGGCCAATCTGCTTTTTGAGATTACGGAAGGTATGTATAGTAGCTCTTGGTGGAATGGGTGCAAGAAGAGATGTATGTAACATCAAAGGAAGGTGATCGGAGGTGAAGGTCTCTCCAATGAAACATCTATCAGCAACCAGTCCTGTACAGGAATCTGTCAAGAGGATGTGATCTATGATAGATGATCCTTGTTGGGATACGAAGGTAGGAAGTCGGTTTGAGGCTCTAAATATGGGGCAGTCTATGAGCAGATTAGCTAGGCGGATACCGTTTGGATTTGAGGCGTAATCTCCGAACATGGTATGTCTGGAGTTCAGGTCTCCAAGCAAAACAGCTCGGGGGAGTGATGATAGGTATTTTATCAGAGATGTGGAGATGATTTGGCCTGGGCGGTTGTAGTATGGGATGATGGTTAATGGATTGTCTACCGGGAGGTCTATTGCGATTATGTCTAGTTCTGCTAGATGAGCAGGAAATATGTGTGGGTCGAAAGGAATTGAATTTTTAATTAAAAGAGTATTCTCAAAAGAGTTTTGGGATTTATTTAAGGGAACTGTTTGTTACCCAGTGAAGCTGGGTGCGTATACTTTTTAAAGATATCGCTTATATAGGGACCGTGCGTGATGACTTTAACGCCAACTAGTAACAAAAATGAGAATTTTATGGAGGGATTTATTAATGTTTTATACAGCATTTATGGTTAAGTAATTATTAATTAAATAAAGTCGAATTATTTTCGTAACATCATTATCGAAAAAACTTGTTACATCCGTGAATGTACAAACACATCACTTTGGAAACCTGTATTTGATTCGATAGTAAAGAAATTTTATAAATTTTCACAGAACACACTTAGTATTAATAAATATATTCTTTGCTCACACCCAATGATTTACATAATTACATAGATTGCTTATCCATATGTAAATCAAACGACGAAAAGCACATTTTACTGGGCAAAGTTTTCTTTTTAATTATCTTGTATCACTTTTGAGCACTTAGTTGTAAACAAATCATTTACAGAACCGGTTTAGAAATTAGAATCTTTAGTGTTTTTTTTTGTCATTATGATTTTTACATATTTAAATGAACATTTTATATAAATATAAATTTACAAATAATTAATGGTTTATTTTGTTAATTAAATCTAATGTAGAATGTTACTGTGAAATTAGAATGTCCAATTTGACAAAAATATCATGACCCTCTTTACAATTTATTAACTATTTCTCATTTGTCACTAAAATGAACAAATCATAATTAATACATTGCAATTATTGTCAAAAAAGATTGCAACAAACTTTAAAATATTAAAAATCCAGTAATTTTTGTAAAATTTGTTAGTAACATTACCGTTTAACATTACTCAGAATAATAGATAAGTGTCCAATTACAACTCTTACCAAAGTCGTTTATATCTCATATCATTGTATTACATATTGCAATTATTTGTTTTATACAGGGTGTTAAAAAAAAAGTGTCACAAAATGAAATGGTGAATAGTATGACCCAAAATAAGCAGAAAAGTCTTAATAAATATATGACCGCAAATTAACGGTTTCGGAGATACGGACCATTTTGTGTTTATAACAATTTTTTATTATTATAAAAAAACAATGATATTTATAAACAATCCATAACAACATAGAGTTAAATGAGATGTTCAAAGTGCCCTCCCTCCATTTCAATGCATTGCCATTTGCACGACCGTACATAAAATGCATGTCAGTTAATTCAATATTAGTGTAAACAGGCATAACGAAAATTTATAAAATTATTCACCCACAACAAAATAATAACTGCAAATAGTATCTATGAAAAAACATCGGTAGACTCCGATAAGAAAAGCAAGTTTTTGAGAATGAAAAAAGATATTTAAAAAATGATACAAAACACAAAACACTCCGTATCTCTGAAACCATTCATTTGCGGACATATGTTTATTAAGACTTTTCTGCATTTTTTGGCCCATACTACCCCCCGTTTTATTTTGTGACACTTTTTTTTTGTATAGTGTTATTTCTGAAATGAGAGTGGACTAAATGTACTTTCAAAATACATAATAACGTATTTTGAAATAATTTTTTTCTTTTTCTAATAAGTAAAATGCTGAAATTTTATTTTAAAACACATTTGGGCTAGAACGACTACTTAGTGGACACTAGGATACGCCAAATAGCAGTAAACATTGCAACCCGCTTTTCGTAATCTTTTTTAAAGATGGATGAGCAATCTATATAATTATGTATCTCATTGGGTGTCTCATAAATGTGGATGAATGACATTTCGACTAACATAAAGCTATAAAGAATTATTATTCTCAATCTTTTTTATTAATTTACTTCTTTTAAAGATTATTGTAATACTTTTAAATTCAGTGTTACTAAATACCGATATTTTGACATTGGATACGCTTGCTTGAGGTACAACTTTACAATTTATTGTCATTATAGCCATTTAAATCTTTTTGCTCAAAATGTATTTATATGTCCAGATTTTAATAATTTTTCAGATTTTATATCATTTTAACCATGTACACGATTGTTTGTTACGGGCTGGTATCTACATTTAACTATATTTAATATTTTAAAAAATATCCTTTATTACTTACTTGCAGTGTTTACCCCATTTAATTCTAAAATTAAACACTAGAGAGGGCTAACTTCGGCAGTAGTGCTGCCTCTATATTTCACGCACGGTCCCTTTAGATTGTCATGATTCCATCATTGAACCTTCCATGTCATATCTTGTTATGTCTTGTATTGTTTGCGCCGAAAAGTTATTCGAAACGTTCTTACGGTTGAGACCCTAATGGTGTTGGGATCGGATTTTTTATATTTGATTTGGTTTAAAAAAAAATATCGTAGGGGTTTAGCTTGTCAACATTGGATAGATTCGTTTATTTTACGAAAGGTTATGTATTAGGAAGATTGAAATAAATGATCTTAAAAGAAAGGTTATTGAAATTATTATATTACATCAATTAAAAAAAGTGGAGACAGCAGAAATGATAGTTCAGCAGACTGAGAGTGAGAAGAGAACAGCAAAAAGAGACCAGGCAGGAGAACTAGAGGGATAGAAAGTCAGCGGTTAGAGCAGAATATAGAAGAACCGGGAGCAAAAAAGAAGCGAAGCGGAAGATGTAGATATTTTTTAAATTAAAATTTTATTGATTAATATTATCATTTGTTTATTTATTATTAATTTTAAAATTTGTAGGAAGCCAAAGGAGCCACAATGGAATGATTTAACCTTTCTGAAGTGAAATCATTACAATATACTCCTATACTTTTTTAATTAAACATTGTTTACTGTTCTTTATGTTTATTTATTATATAAGATTTTTTATATTCTTATTGCATCGTACTCGTAACTATTTGGACCGTTGACGGTTTCATTCCTGTATGATCTAAATAAATAGAAGAAAAAAATGAAAATTGTAAGACTTTTTTTACTTCCTAAGAAGGGCTTACATTCGTCTGTTGTCTGCGCTTTTATCAACTAAATCAATCAATCCTTTTACGCCACTCCAATACAATAGTAAACAAGCACAAAGACAGTATGCAGTTAAAATTTCGTTAGAATGCAATGTACGCGCGCGAGCTAGAAAGAGATAGCCGGATAGACGTTGGCCGCCTCCCGTTTCCATAGTAACGCTGGGTATTGATTTGATTTGCAGGCGAGAGCGTTAGCGAGACGCAGACTCCGCACAAAACGAAACAGGCCAGCGAGAAGCAGCACGACCTCTGGTGCTACAAATGCGACACCATGACAAATGGGGAGAAATGCTTGGATTTGGAGGGCAATGATACGACGATGCATCACAAATGTAATAAGGAGCAGAAAAAGTGTCAGGTAAGAGATCGTTTAGCTTGCAAGTTTAAATCGGTAAAGGAAGATCGCCTAATTTTGGATAGCTTTTTTTATTCAACTTTTTTGTGTGAAAAAAACATATTAATTCTTGTGTGGCTAAAATATGCTATTACCTCAATAAAAACAGGATACATTCACAAAAATATTTATTTTAATCCTAAAGAACATAATAAATGAATAAAAGTAAAATAAAGCATTTTTTAAATAAAAAAAGGTTCCCAAAATTGGATACCCTATCTAAAATTGAGAACCTATTTTTCAAAACAAAAATCACACACATAAGCTTTTGCTTTCTCACTACCAGCACAGTCTTCGTGTGTCCATCGAAAGGACATTGAACACTAATCCCAGGCTTCTCCATGTTGATCGGCTGAAAAATTTCCAAAATACATGCTGCATCACCGTTTTCATCTGCATCCATATCTGAGTCATCATTATAAGGAAAATCTTGCAAGGAGTCGGAGGAGTCACTTTCTTCTTCGACCTTTTGACTTTTCTTTATCTTCTTAGTTTTACCAATTGTCTTCTTTTTAAAAAAAATCTAGTTTTGGTGACTTTCCCTTACTTTTAAGGGATTCCTTTTGTTGTCGTTCTTTAATACTATATTCCAATTTATCTTTATAGGGCGAACTTGTTATTACCGCTGCAGAACTAGCTTTACGTCCCCTGTTTGAAGTAGGCATCGAACTGCAGGATGGCAAAGGCGAAAAATTTTGAATTTTTACAACGTTTGACAACTGTTTGGTTTCAACACCGCCATCGGTTTGTTGTTTCGGGGAAGTATTTTTAATAGATAGTTGAATTCAGGTTCTATTGGTGTTGTCTAATTCGGATGAAGAAATGTTATCAGGGGCCAGTTGTCGAGGCGGAGTTCTCTCTCTCTCTCTCTCTCTCTCTCTCTCTCTCTCTCTCTCTCTCTCTCTCTCTCTGTATTTCTATAAAAAAATCTGCTTCTGAAAATAAGTTCCGATTGAAAGGAAAAAGCCTTGCGAAACCCACTAGCTGATATCTCAGCAGTCGCACATTTCTGATAAGCAGGCAAAATAATTTGCAGATTTGAAAGGGGCTTATATTTTGAGTAGGGTTATTTTTTAACCAATTCTGGATTTCCCTTGAATAGTATGTCTTTAAGGAAGACATATGGCTGTAATTTTCGTCGAGAATAAGCTACACTGGATCTTCCTTTGAAGGTTTTACGTGGCTGAGAAAATGTTGTACCCATCGCGTAAAGATGTGGCTCTATATCCACCCTGAAAGGTGACACTCAGCAATTGACCTCGCTGGAGCCCCGTTTAATAGCTCGGCCTTCATATTTTTCCGTAGAAATACAAACAAAGGAGAAAAGAAGCCCCCAGCAGCATTCATACATGTAACTACAGTTATCAATGCTCCTCTTTCTGCTGCCGTTACGGTCCCCCTTGTTATTTTTTTCTTTTAACGTGATTATTCTAGCAATCTTTAATTGCACTGTGGTGTTACCGGTTTCGTCAACATTGTACATCCTAAGGGGATTAAAATTAATCTTCTCCAGAGCGGGTTCTAGAAGATCAAAAAAATCTTGATATTTTCTGGCGCGAAACCTTTTAGTCTATTCTTTGAAATTCCTTGGGGGTTTTATTAAAGATAGATTGGGATGACGTTTAAAGAAATTACTAAGCCATTTTTTACCCGCATTTGCGTCTCTCTTTGAAAAAGGATTAGGGAGAATATTCCTTATAGCAAGCTGATTTTGGATACCCAATTTTAGGAACCCTTTCCTATCTAAAATTAGGCAACCTTTATATTCTAGGTTATCTGATTAAGATCAAAAAGTCCATTAGGGTATTTCAAACACGTTGGCTTATTCTACCACTATTCTAATGCATCCGTGCCAAATTACACTTGCCTACGCTAATTACTAAGGCTGTCAATTCCTGACGTAATAAACGGTTAACAGGTTCGACTGATTATGACCGGTTTTGGTTTTAACTGGATTTTTAATATTAATGTAACCGGTCCGGATATTCGGTCCGATTATCTGGTTAACTGGTCAGATTATCAGGTTAACGGGTCCGAGTATCCGGTCGACCGGTCAGATTATCCGGTTAACCAGTCCGATTATCCGGTTAACCGGTCCGATCAAACCGAGCGTCGAAACGGACCGGTTAGATCGGATACGGCGGTTTAACCGTAACCGTGACCATTTAACCCCATCACTGGTTTATCCGTTACTGGTTTATCCGTTACTGGTTTATCCGTTACTGGTTTATCCGTTACTGGTTTAACTGTAACCATCACCGGCTTAATCGCGGCAAAACACATCCACAAAATCCTTTGTTTTCAATAGAAATGGGGTCACTTTACTAACCATTTCACCTTTCCTTAACCGTGACAACCAGGCAGTGCATGCTTGATTTTTTAAAAATAGGCACTCACTAAATAAAAATTAAATTAGAATAATAGAAATACTACCAATGTTACTTTTGTTAAATTTATTTAAAATTAAAAAAAAAACACATTCACTTACTTCCCACTGGGTGGGTAAGTAGGTAAAACTAAAAAACAAGTAAAAAAAAAACATTCAAAAATAAACTATAAATAATTCGGATATAAAATAAGAAATAACAAATACCTAATAACAATTTTTTTATTATTGAGTTTTGATCCTAAAAAATTAACTTATCAACGTTTTCCGGCAGCAAGCAGTTTCTTTTTGCCGAAACTGTGCTTCCTGCACTGGAAAACACCCGTTTACTGGAAGTTATAATACAGGTTCCGGTTAAACCGGCTCAGGTTAAACCGGTTCTGGTTAAACCGATTACGATTAAACCAGTTACGTTCTTTAACGGGTTTTTGGTCCTACGGAACCGATTAACCGGTCACGGTTACCAGCCTTACTAATTACTTACATTTTTATAACTGATTTGGAGTGAGGGTAGCCATATGTGAGTAGTAGGGATTAAGTGTAAAGGTTAAAGAAAAGGTCCTTTATTTCTCACAAGTCAATTTATTGGCGACCGGTTTCGAAGTTGTCACTTCATCATCAGGCACACCTTGACTGTTAAACTTTTTGTAGCGCTTCCTTTATGCATTAGTCAAGGTGTGCCTGATGATGAAGTGACAACTTCGAAACCGGTCGCCAATAAATTGACTTGTGAGAAATAAAGGACCTTTTCTTTAACCTTTACACTTAATTTTTATAACTGTTTACACGCGGAGCAACAAAAAACTCTTTGTCACAAATAAACACATATTCTTATGGCGCCACATAGTAGCGAACAGTCGAACTATGTGCTTCACACAGGTTTTTCTTATCTACTTTTATGCCGTTTAGATACCATGTTGTACCCGTAACCTAAAAAAGACTTTTTATTTTAGGGTATTTTATATTTAAAGGTTGAAAAAATTTGTCAATATCAGCTGTCGATAATGTTAAAACATAAGCGTAGCATTGCATTTTTTTTTTGTTGCTACTAGTCTATTTCTGTTTATCCCGCTTTCTTGAAACATTTTTTTTTTATTTGGTTTTATTTATTTATGTCGATTGCAAAATGCTGCTGCTACGAATACAAGTTCTAGACAATATACAACCAACATACAATACTAGTTACCTTATGCCCATCTATGGTTACGCCTGTGTTTTACCATCAACATAATTGACAGCTGACAATGACAAAATGTTTCAACCTTTAAATGTAAAATACCCTAAACTAAAAAGTCTTTTTCACGTAACGGGTACAACAAGGTATGCAAATGGCATGAATATAAATAGGAAAAACCGAAAAGCAAACTAAACAGCCTCTTTATGTGACCCGATTTCTTATGTCATTAGTGTCACTTTTATTTTGTCAAGTTGATTGCACTTCCCTTGTAGTCCAGTAACTAAAGGGTAAAACCTGTAGAAAATTCGCTGATGAGTTCCCACATAGCGCAATTTGTAGGTCATCGCAGGTGTTTTTAAACAAGAAAATCCTTAATGCGTTTTTGGTACCGGAAGGGGCTGAAAATGGACCCCTAAAACCTGGAAAATGAGTTTCCCGCTAATATCTGACTGAATATGCCAATTAGAGACCAGCTTATTATCTACAAAAATGATACTTATCATTTTCTTCGAAAATTCAATCGTTTTTGAGATAATGGTACTCAAAAGTCCCCTCATTTCAGCTGCTGCTCTACCTGCAGGAATTGCGCTTTCTATGAATTAACGTGTAAGCGGGTAGACGAATTGTTCCATATCTCGGGAAAAAATTGATATTTTTCGATGATTCAAAGTTCAAAAAAGCGGTCAAAGTTTTTTTCAACAATATTTAGAGACTGCTTCATTAATTTATTCATATTTTCTTTAAAAATAGTAATTTTTTCTAATTTTGCCTTTATAATGGGACCTTGGGGGTCTTGAATGATCTCAGAAATTATTTTGTAATACTTTTCTTGCGTTTTAATACAAAATTGATTTGTTTATTTACATGTTTTAGCCGATTTCGGAGTTCCATAGATTCTTCGGAACAAGCGCGAATTATAATCTTATGATCCGTTACATTGATTTCCAATGTACATCGTTTTAAAGCTTAGATGGTCTACTTTTTGAATATATTTTTTTTATTTTTAATAGAGTCTAATAATTTTCAAGAAATGAGGAAAATTGATCACAAGAGTGAAAACCGGCCTTTTTTGTTTAACCATTTCTTGTTCCCCGCTCTTTATTTTTTGAGGATTAATAACTAGTATAATGGATATGAAGTTACGAGAAATCAAGAAAATCACTAACATAATATATTAAACTTAAAGCTATAAATTATACATCAAAATTTCTGACTACCCCTCGTATAGCGATAATTTTGATTATGTCAAAAAGAACCAGATTTAGTGAGACAGTTCTACCACATGTAAATTACGGACATTAGAAAAACAAATTTACAAAAAAACTACAACACGAATTTTAAAATGACCTATTAATGAAACAAATATAAATCACCATCAAAATTCTATAATAAATCGTTTGA